ATGAGGACGCCCCGGCCCGGAGCCTCCTGCCTTCCATGTCTGTCCCTGGCCCCCCACCCTGACCCAACCACCCACAACGAGGGACCCTTGACCTCCAGATGGATGGCCCAACACTGTGACCATCTCAACAAATGCCACCACTGGGGGACAGAACGGGGCCTTTCCGCCTCACCTGGAACACAGACAAGGAGGCCTTGTCCTCCTTTGACATTCTTTTTTTAAAGAAATTAAAAGAACCCAGATGGTCTTTCTTGTGGTGGAGATGACTGGTTTCTCTCCTTTTTTGGGGGGTGGGGGGCCCGAAGTCTTGCAAGACTAAAAAGTCTTGCTATGTAGCCCAGGCTGGCTTGGAACTTGCAGTGATCCTCCTGCCTCAGCCTCCCAAGTGCTGAGATCACAAGCATGTGCCACCACGTCCGGCTCATGGAGACAACTGATTTTTTTAAACTGCGGATTTTATAAACCATTCTTTGTCTGGAGAAGTAGATACAAAGAGCTCCACTTGAACACACCAAGCAATGAGTAAGAGGCTAACTATTTTCCTATTGTGTCCCTAAAATAGATCGGCACAGGACGCCGGTGACGGCCCAGCCCCTCGGGTCAAACTCTGCCAGGCCCGAGCGTTGGCGGCTTGGCAAGCCCCTAATGCGCAGTCGTCTCCAGCGAGAGCGTTATTCATCAGAACAAAAACCTTGATGAAATGTTCGTGCTATTTTAAAATTGACAAATCAAGGACACAGAGTGCTTTTAAAAGCTACTGCCAAAAATACGGCACGCATCCTGCAGAACAAGGACAGCGGCCCGGAACATCTGCACTCGTGTCGGAGGAGGACGTGGGCCATGGGCAAGCTGGCGCTGTCCTCGGAAACATGGAGACGGCTCCTGGGATGCCTGACCGGCCGCGGCTCTGGCGTCCCCTGGGAGTGGGAGACTTCAGGCTCAGTGGGTGTGGACACCCAGATGCCGCAGAGGAAGCAGCCGTGGCCAGGGTCTCAGGGAAACAGCAAAGCGAGAACAGCCTGGCACACCCAGACCCTTCCCTGTGGGTGACAGTCACTGGTCAGGAGAGCTGAAATGACACAGGCCAAGGACACAGGAAACGGGATTAACTGGCAGAGACAAAGAAAGAAAAAGAAGTGAACACCACGATTTCTCTTGCAGAGCTGGGTACAGTGGTGCATGCCTGTGATGCCAGCACTCAGGAGGCGCAGGCAGGAAGTTTGCAGCAAGTTTGGTGTTTATTTATGCATACCTTGTGTTCATGATCTATCATTAGCGAAGTGACAACATCCACTCCCAGTGAGGTTAACCAGTGACAGAAGCAGACGTTCATTCTCAGAAAGTTTTGGTGATGACCAGCTATTCTCATGCTACCCGATAACTTTAAATTGAAACCGACCAAGAGCCCGTATCTGGGGTAGGAGAAACGCTTCTCCTGTTCTCCTTTATAAGTGCTTTTTTCTTGGTGAGGATCTTTTCAACTTTTGTCTATTCTCCGAGTTTTAGTTCAAACTAGGTGATGTAACCCACACACCCTCTTAATCTGCTCCACAGACATCTGTCCAAACACTCAGAAAGTGATAGAGAAGCCACTGCCAGCCTGGAAGCACGTTGTGTATCATTGTGACACCACATGCAACCGCTGAGAGCTTGAATATTTTTTGTTTGGTTTTTTTCGGTACTGGGAATCGAACTCACGACCTCGCACTTGCCAGGCAAGCGCTGTGCCGCTGAGCTAAATCCCCAGCCCCTATATCTATTTTTTTTGTGTGTGTGGGTTTTCCGGTACCAGGAATTGAACTCACGACGTTGTGCTTGCCAGACAGGCGGCTCTGCCGCTGAGCTAAATCCCCAGCCCCTAGAGCTTGAATATTAAAAATTAGAAACATTTCATCCTTTAAAGTCTGTATCACTCCCTGTTGTAGTATATTCTTCTGCACCCATGGGGTAGTCTCTTGCCCCACACTGGGTCACTGGCTCACTGCTGGCCATCTGCAGATGAGGGGTTCAGGTGCACAGGACCAGGCCATGCTGGTCGGCAGGAGCATGGAGAAAGGGTACGAAGGAGTGCGGGAGACAAAGGAAAAGATAAATGTGGGTGTCTCGTCACATTTAGAGGACAGAGTGATATAGTGGAAAGAAACTCCAAAACTGAAAGCTCTCTGGGATGAGTTCCTGTTCTCTAAAACAGAGGAATGAATCTTAGGAACAACGGAGGTCAAGAGTAGAATATATTTATTGAGGGAAAGAAAGCTTCTGTCTGACAGAGAGACAGAAAAGGACCCCAATAGGTTGCCGAGCAATCTGCCTTTTCTAGGAATTTTTACAGAGAAGAACCACGAGGTGAGGCGGGTCTAAGGTGAGAAACATGGGAACTTGTAAGGTGGGCATGAGGTGGGGCAAAACTATGGTCAATTAGCCAGGCGTGGTGGCGCACGCCTGTAACCCCAGCACTTGGGAGGCTGAGGCAGGAGGATCGCTGTGAGTTCGAGACCAGCCTGGGCTACAAAGTGAGCTCAAGGCCAGCCTGAACTGCATAGCAAGACCTCATCTCAAGAAGACAAAAAAAAAAAAAAACTACTGTCAATCAATAGTATAATTGTTCAGGTAAAATTGATTAAATCAGGATCAAATGGGAAAGTCACGTAGCAAGGGGACCTGAATACAAAACAGGGGCCTTTCCCGTAGGGGGTTGGGTAGTGACTTTTCCTGGCTTTTTCAAGGTGACTGCTACCTATTTAGAATATCAGTCCCTGGTATGTGGGTGCATTTGTTTCATCTTTTGTCTTGAGGTGTCTCCCACAGCTGCAGGTATCTTGTCTTCCATACTGGCTCCGTGGAGGGCCTGGCCCTGTCTGACTGCCTGTACTATTTCTATCTAACTCAGCTGCCTACAACAGAAGGAGCCCAAGATGACTCCACAGTTTTGACTCCAAAAGACACAAAAAGTTGACATGAACCAGGGTGTGACAGCTTACGCCTGTAATCCCAGTACTCAGAGGCTGAGGCAGGAGGATCGCTGTGAACTCAGAGGCAGCCTGGGCTACATAATGAGTTCACAGCCAACCTGAACTACAAAGTGAAACCCTCTCAAAACAAAAACAAACAAAAAGCTTACTGAAAACGGCAGTGTCCTGGGAGCCCACAGGCTTTTCCCACGGCCACACTGGGTTGGGCAGGCGTGGGCTGATTTCCTGCTTTGGAAATATTCTCCAGGGGCCATACTGGAGTGACTCAAGTGGCAGAGTCTCAGGGCCAGCTTGGAGGTGACCATGGCGACTCTGGGGCCTGGACGTCAGAACGGTGAGGCGTCTTCACCCAGAAAGCAGCTCTCCTGGGTGGAGGGGTCCCCCATTCCCGAGGACCACAGCCTGCCGGAGGGAATCGGGCTCCTGCCTGCCGTGCACGAAGGCTGCAAGCTGGGGGAGGGACGGCCACCCACAGCTCAGCAGGAAGGCACCCCAAACGCAGGCAACCACAGAGCTGCCCCGTGGCCCTGTGTGCTGCGTTTAGGTCCGCAGTACCTCCCCGGATTCTCACGTGTGGATGGTGACTGGATCGGGGTGCCTTCAGCCACTGAAGAGCAAGCGGACAGCTGACGTCTTCTCTTTCACGCACTGTTAATCAGTTGTTGCTGTCCGTGTCTGTGGTACACAGTGGTTCGGTCCTCGCGGGGTGCTGCA